AACGCACCAATAGCAAACCACCTGAACTCGTTTCACAGTCATGTAAAAGCAGCTGCCATCATCACATCACACACACACACTCTCGGGCACGACTGGACGCAGTCAACGTCAGCCACTGCCCAAGACAGCAACACCGGGGTCTGTGCACAATAAAACCCTCCTCTGGTGACTTCTGCCTTTTACCTACAACCTGGGATTCGATCTGCTGATTGTAGTGCTCTGAGTCCAACCACGACTTAGACACCACATAGTACCGTACTACATTACTTGAAGCTCGGCCAAACCTCAGCAATATTTCAACCCATGGGTGTAGTGCCCATGTCCCAGTCCTGTCGACATCATAAAATCACCTCCTAAAAGTGAAGGTGGGAAAAATAGCACACTCGTCAAACGGAGCAAACACTGCAGGCAAATTCACCTCCGAGGACGGCTCGCTCTCGCTAGGGAAGGCCTTTTCTGTCTCAACAGATGCCTCAGACAGACGGCCAGACTTTGGACAGAGACGGGCAACAAAGTCAGAAATGAATGCAGTGTCGGGAGGAGGAGGCAGACGTTTGTGCTTATTGGGGCGTCTAAAGGGAAGGAAGAGGAAGGAAAAGCATTAAAGCAGATGACAGAAACCAAAACTATAAAGACTCACCACACAGACAATAGGTGCCTGTGTCCTACGATCAGGACTACTAATTAATTGCAAAAAACTACCCGTCACTGGGCAACTGCCCGTGCAATTGGCATCGCTTATGAGGCGAGATACCATACTTATGCAATTATACTACATATGATTAGTGAGCAGCCCTTTACGTTGACCCATTCCCACTGACCGAAGGTTGCTCACCTTTCGCCTACAATCATGTGAACGACCACTATTTGAATTTTTCAACGGTGTCGATGTATTTTTCAATCACTATGTCAGTATTAGGGAGCTTAAAGGCGTTTGCTTATCTTTCCCGCAATGAAACTGACTGAATTGAAATTGATCGGAAATGGAAAGATGAACCCCACACCCTACGACGAGGGTCACAGAGCAGCAATCTATTGTACGCCCAAAATTAATTAATTAGGATGTTTTTTTTTCTGTGGCTCGTTTGAGATTGCAGTTCAACGGCAGTCTTTACGTCTAAACAAACCTGTCGAGGCGCAAGCGGAGCGCTAAAATGCTAAAAACCACAGTAGGACAGTCAACCTTATGGAATAGGAGGCATATGTCTTTTCGCAATACTGTTAGAGTTTGTGGCTTTTTATGGATTATCGCCTGGAAAAACCAGTAGACAGACAAGCCAGACGGCGGAACCACTACATAGCCAGCGGCTGCCTAATCGCTAGACCAGACAGGTTACTTAATTCATGACTAACATTCGGTGAGGATCGTTCCCCTATGCGGCATAGGAGGAGGAGGAGCCAGCTTACTCACAATGAGTTAACAGGCTAGTCTGACCATATCCTATCCAGCACTGAGTTCATAAGGCCCACCGGTAATTTGCCTCCGAATAACCCCTCTAATAGAGGGGTGGTGGTGGTGGTGGTGGCGGCGGTAAAGAGGATTTACGGGTAGGACACAAAGGAATCGCGAATGGTGCTTATGGAATTGGAAAATAAACGGGGAAATCCCATTTCTCCTAAACCTTAGCAGCAACCCACATATATAACGGAAGTTCTCTGTGTCCACGTCCTGCAGGAGAGTCATACGAATAAGTCCTACGGAAATGGTCTGAGTCTGTAGGATAAAATGTAACCAGATAACTGATCTAGCAACCAAATGGTCGAATGTTCATTAGGATTGGAAGATCATAGCTCCAAATTTAATTTGAGCCATTGAAATGAGGAAAGATTTTATCACAGAGAGCATCGCATTCATTAAAAGGCAATCGACTAAAGAATTTACATTCCAGAAAACCGTATACATAGGCAACGTAGACTCTTATCCTAAATAGGATAGATAATCGCAAACTATACAAAAATTCAATTGTACCGTTTGTTATATCTTTAATGACATCGAAGCATTCTAAATTTTCTTGTTTGTTCCAATCGTATAGGAATCTTCTCGAGAGTGTAGCAGGACACACACAAGTCCACCCTACACAGAGCCGGAACATCCAAGGAATTAGTAAGTTGCCGTGGTTGATTAACTGCAGCCAAACACCGAATACTACTTGTACTTGTTACGGCTGCAAGCATGCCTGATCTAGTTGGCTTCGATTATGTTCCAGATGGAACTACGCATGTTTTTATGGGTGAACAATTGAAACAGGCGGTTGGACGAGGGTACCAGCAATAATCCGTAGACAAGGGGGGGAAAGTTATATAAATTATATCACATTACCTAAATAAATTAAGTAGGCATTGCATAGCAATAAATGTCTGGACTTTGCACCTCAGTTGGCTCAGTCTGACCAGTCTTCGCTGACAGACGTTTCATCCCTGGCCACGTATGAACGAGCCGGGTAACCCACTGTTGCCCAACAGACAGACCCAGTACATAAAGTTACTATAGTACCACAGTTCGCTAGATACTAAAAATGCTAAACGAAAAAGACCAGCTGGTGAAAAGGGAAGGAAAGTCTACCTTTTAGCCATAGAACCGGAATGAAGGAGACCGTGTCTAGGATTAAAAGTCGTCGATTGTTCCCGCTGAGGAGGCGCCACAGAGGCATTGGCACTAGTGGTTGTGGGCTCAGCCGGTTGAGAGAGGGCCTCAGCCGCGGCGATGAGCTCCGCCTCGATGCGACCTTGCTTAGACGCTGAGGTGCGATTCATCGCGGGGTTCACGATGCCACCGAGCCAATCAATGCGAAGCGCACTGTTCTCGGCTGCGGCATCGTTAGTCGCCTTTTGGCGGCCCCGGCGTCGCCT